TCATCATCGTTGCACAAAGCATAAGGATTGTCAAGTCTAGTATTATAGCAGTTAAAACCATTCTCGGTGTATCGAGCTGTGTAACCAGTGACAGGAAGTAGATACTTGGTTCCATCAGGTCGAAGGTAGTTGGCCATATCAGGTTGAGCTTCAACTTCTACTAGATGCTCTTCTTGACCAGACAATGGCGGAAGGAATACCTCAAAGCGTTTAATGTATACGGCCTTCTCAAGGTCATGTGGACCAAACCAACCATTGTCTCTCAACCATTGAAAATTGGGTATCCTGAATGTAACGGTTTCTCGAGCGTAAAGAGCATTAAGATCTATGTAACCTTGATCATTAGCATTGGCCGGTGTCGTGGGAATGTCTCGGAAGTCGGTTATTTCATTGTTGATATGACAGAGAGGGTCCGGTGTGTAACTGATGACTTGTGCTACGGCGTCGTGGGACGGAGCCCTCAAAGCTGTTTCACATTTATCAGGTATTTCTCCGCCTCTTGTGTAGGTAAGAGCATCGCAGTATTCAGTAACAACTTCCCAAACATTCAGTGTTGATACCATAAATGCATTTACAGCGGTTTGTTTCAAGAAAGCTTGGTTCAAGCTATTGGTATTGGTGTAGGCAGACTTAAGGTCGTTGGCTTTCTTGTAGGCGAGGTAGGCTCTAGCAGCGTCTGACAAAGAGTCCATGAAATCAAATTGGTACTCGTAAAGCTCTTCATAGTAGGTTATCAATTCTTCAATCTCATTTCCGACATTAACACAGTCACCAGTACTAGCTAATCCGATTTCTATCAATGCACTTCCGGCTGATTCGGCCGAAAAGGCAGCTTCACAGAGGTCTTCAGCGACTGTCTCCCATTTTGCCCCAAAAGAAGTAATATCAGCCAATAAGACTTTAGGCGTGTAATCGTTGTATTTTCCGAGAAAATCGTTTGCTGTATCTACGGCGTCTTCCCCATCTTTCATTTTATCAATAAATATTCTTGCATCCCCCAACTGACCTTCATTATCGGCAAATTTTGTTCCTAGATCAATTGCTTGCTGTATTAGATCTGGAAACTCTTGGTCGCTCAACCGAGCAATAACTGCTGTCGTCACTCCTGCTTGGGCTAAGTCATTTAGTGCGTCCATGAAATCAAGGACACTTGAATCACCAATAATCTTACCAATCGGATTTGCCATTGATGCCAATGCCACTCCGACCTTAACAGTTTTCTGAAGTAGCTCCGCTACATTGATTCCAATGGCTAAGTTAAGGATTGTAGTGAACTTATGTTCAACTGAATTAGAAACAGATGTAATTTTGGCCTTGAATACCTCAAGTTGACCATCAATGTAGGCAATATCTGCATCGGCCTTGGTTTTATCGTAGTCCGCTAGAGATGAAAAATAGCTGGACAGCTCTTGAAAGTTTGTTTGTACCTCACCTCTGAACTGGTTGGAGATTGTTTCTGTCTGTACATTGATCAGGTGGGCTGCTCTATCAAGTTGGAGCTGATCTAGAAGGGTTCGATAGTCTATAGTTGGGTTCAGAATCTTCGTCGTCGACTGCTTGCTATTTTCAAAGGCCTGGATGAAAAGGAAAACACTATTTAACAAAGGATCCAGGTTGCAGAATATTGTATACTCTGAAGGGACGGAAGCTTGCTGACAAGCCGCATCCTTTGCCCACTGAGGAACAAAGCTCATGTGGGGCAAATTGGTGACGAAAGTCTCGAGTCCCTGAGTGTCGTAGCTAGTAACGTATCCTCTGATTGTGTTCTGTGTATCTATGATGACATCGTTGATTTCGTTGCCAGCTAAACTTGTGTAGCGAGCCATTGGTATATATGATAGCCATATCATTAAGTCATTCTTAGCTTTGATAACTTCAGATCTCCCCCAGTTTCCACTGGCTGCAACGTCCACGAGCTGTTTTGTCTGTTTAAGAACGAACTTCAGCAAACAGTCAAATCTGTACATCATGTTGATTCTACAGGTGTATCCACCATTACAGTCAAATCCGTGCGAACTGACGACGGAATTACATCCGATGTTGTTAGTACAGTCGAATGCGCTGGGCCAATCTATGTGGCACATGGAGTCGTCTACGGTAATATAAGGATTGTATGTGTTGTATAGCGAGTTGAGACCATTGCGATCGTTAGCTACGACTTTATCCTTGAACTCCGTCAAGACAGTTTGAGTTGTAGAAATAACAGAATTGATAAGGCTCAGTTCGTCGTTGTCTGCAAATCGACCTCTGACAAAATATTCTTGAACGGCGTTGTCGTACACGCATGGAGTGACGTCCGATAGACCAGCGCAGGTTCGGATTTTTGCGGCGAAGTCTTTAGCTTTGCAATAGTATTTTTGGGCGACTGGTTGCCCTGACCTGTCTGAACACTTTCTTTGGACTTGATCTTCAACTGCCTCAAATCCAACATATTGCCAATTACGTATCCACTTGTCGAACGAAGACTTTCCTTTCATAAGCTCTTCAAGAGATTCCCACATGAGTCGTGAATGATAAAAGACGTTGTCCTGTACAGATTCGGGAATAAACTCCAATATATCTTGGTGGAAAAGGGTTTCAATTACGACGGATCGTGAGGCTGAATCTACACCTAGCTTTGACTTTGCGTTAATGGTTGATAAGGATTTGATGGACACTTCTTGTACCCATCGACCATTATCGTATTGCCAATTGGTTTCTACGATCAACTGCTTCATTGCATCAAGACCATACTGCATGTTACAGAAGAAGGCGGAATCCATGCAGCTGTAAGGCCATGTGTCTTTTACATTGTCCCAACTCCAACACGCATCTGCGAATGAATTAGCAATGGAGTCCAAGTCGATTATTCCTCTTGGTTTGCTGCCCCCTTGATTGACAACTTTGTAATGGGAGTAGAGCTCGAACATATCCGACACAGTGATATAGTTGAGGTAGGACCATAGGTTGACCAGGTCAACTCGAGCATCGTGTTCTCTTGCTAACCAGGAGTCGTAGCTCAATGTGTTCTTCACCAACATAGCACTGACATTGTCACCATAGACTGTCAGGTCCAGGTAACCGGTTTCAGCATTAGGGTCTGCCAGGTACAAAGCGTTCATGAGTTCATTGTCTGAAACGGATGAACCAGACGATATCAAACACGTCTTGAATTCTGCATACGTTGATGACGCGACTGCCCATATCAGCAACAAGCCGATGTAGAAGCGGTTTGGATAAGCCATAGTGTACATTAAACTCATCTGAAATCAAATATGATCAAATTAGTATTATGAATTGGTTGCATCATTTTACACCATTCCAATTTTCAGTCTGACGAAAACCTCTTAACAATCCCTTTAAAGAGGGAGTTTGTGTGGTCTTTTTCAATATCTAAAACAAGGACTGAATATTATCGTGAAAATACTTCGAAAATCTGACTGCTTTTTCGAAAAGTTACAAGTAAATGAAGAGAGTTCAAAGAATCTGGAAACAAATAAGTTTTGGCTTTTTAGTAACCACGATTGTTCGAAATATGAGTTGTTATCTCAGTCTAACTTAAAAAAGACCGAACTTTCTTTCCATTTTATTTTTGTTTTTTTAATTTTATATATGGTCACTTCAGTTAGGATCTAACGACAGCCCTCTTGAACGTTCGTCAAATCAACCTCTTTACCTAACCTGATCAACACTGCGTCACAAAATGCTAGCGCTGGAGAGGGTAGAAATTTGATTGGTTGAAGCAGGTCAAAAGTTAATGTGGCGAACGTTTAAGAGGGTTGTCGTTA